AGGCGAGCTTCTGGCGCTTCTAATTGAGTTGGACACAAACGTCAAATAGACGACGTCACCCAATTCCTGAGCACAATAATGACAATTTAGACAAAATTGTTTCCTATTATTTTCTCCTCATTTATGTATAATTTTTTAATGAAGAGAGCTGTGTTTACCTATAAATCACTAAGTCTATCTCCTGCAAACTGTTGGCATGCCTGTGGGAAAGTGCACAGTTTTTACTTTTGCCATATAAACCGTTTTCAGTAAATAATCCCACAATGAGGATAAATCTCTTGACAGTTTAAGCAAAAGTTTCGATTTGATTTGTAAATAAAAGTGAGCGTCTGCTTGCTGCAAACGAATGGAGGAAATTAGACCAAGCATCCGGTTCTTTTTCATTCTCAATTGTCGTGAAATGAAATACCCACGAATTGTGTTACCCAGATAGCACGTCGTCGGCTTATATCGCGCTAATAGCCGGCTACATTTAAGCAACAAATGAGCTACGGTACCAAAATTGTAGCTCATTTTTAGCCCATTAGTCGGCTAATAGTGCACTATTAGCCTGCTACGATGAGCTCCATTTTTGCAAATTCCGTTTTATGATTTCCGTTTCCGTTCTCTAATCCTTAATAAACCCAGTATTTTCACTTGGTGATACTATCGCGTAATGGGCTTGAGCACATGTTTTTGTAATGATTACAACGCATTTTATTGACTAATTGAATAAATCCCTTTTATCTTCCCTCACCCCTACCGTATCATGTTAATCCTAATTAGGTATTTTCAAGCAAGCTTCTATTGTTTTGAGAGGCTTTCACGCAGATAATTAGGCTTATTATAGAAGATCACTTATTCGTTGATATATGTTATAAAAGCAAATGGTATATTACATTTGCTGTGTAGTACTTTCCTGTCGCAATTTTCTGGCGTCAGTTCCATCCACCGTATTTTTGAACCACCTGCGTATTTCGCTCTCAACACAATCCATCGAAATATTGATAAAGTCTGGAGTTCATCCGAAAAGCGTTTAGTAAAGAAATGCATAGTTTATTGCCATTACTTACCGATAACACCTTTCATAAACAAACAACCATGATTTCAGAGGTGTAATTTATCAGCACAGCTAACAATTCATGCAGTACCGTAGACATGACATGTTTCACTGTGCCACGTCTTTCCAAACCATTTGCATCAATCGTTTCACTTAAGCACTCAAAAGATAACATAACTCACACCTACAAATTTGTCATATGCACTGTTATCTGACAATTTTCGTTCCAATTCTTCCACTTGCTCTACGTTGAATTCACATTAAAGAAGATGGACGGTATTTATAAAAGAAAAACGAATAAGATACATGCTTCCCAATCAATTCACCTATTGATCTTGAACACCCTTTTCTGTGTTCACAAAGGCCTGCCTCGCCAGAAACAGGAAAGTTAACCTGTTACATCCCTTCAGCGAGACATGGATGACATTTCGAGAAGCTCCAAGTCTTCAAGTGCTGAATGAAATTAGGTTTTTGTGAGATTGCTGAAATAGTTCTCGGAAAAATATTTATAGTAGAACCATAAGCAATAACATTGAAATAAATATATCAGAAGATTTAGCTTACCATCCGATGGACATTATGAAATAGGAACTCCTGCACAGCATCAGCTAACGACAACCCAGCACAAGATAACAGTCAATCAAACTATCATTTCCCGCCGAAAATTAAAACAAAAATCAGGGATGATTGACTCCAAAAACAAGAGCACTTTGACTGATTTATGAATGGAAATGAGTCTTCAAACCAAAAATAAATATTATTAATACATTTTTAAAGTAAACTACTGTTTATTAACAAATGAGGCTGATATAGCTCTTTGTAGCCGAACGATGCGCTTCGTTGTGCAACCTGGGTCTATGGTCAAATCTTGTGCTGGCGCAAGAAGGAATTGAATGTTTTGTGGTAATTTCCTTTTTAGTCACTGTTCCCTAACGAAAGCATAATCGTGTTGGATGTTACCCATTTCGTTGTACATTAGGCTCCAAAGTTGCGAGGGTTTACGGTCACCTGAAGGTCTTAAATAATATGCCGGATACGCTCTTTGTGCATCCAAGGATGGAGTCTCGTAAGGCTTCAAAAGGTCCCTCTTCGGTAGAGTCTAAAACTACGTCCACAACTTCTGCTACTAGGTGTTCCAGCATTGGTGAGACGACATGATGGAACTTGGACGTTGAAGACTAAATATTTCCAGACGCACCGTGCGATTCCAGGACAGAGAACTACGTCCCAGGGTTAGATTCTAAAAACGGCGGAAGTCGAAAGGTAGCGGCCACCAAGGGGAAGATTTGTCAGATAAATCTAACAAATCTATAGTGAAAAAGATTGAGGAACAGAGCACAGGCAGAATATATTTCTGAGTAACTCTGGCAAAAATGTAGAGTTTATATAGCGATAATGGAAAAGTAGAAATTAAACGATTTGTAATAATTTCTCAACGTATAGAAAATGGTTAATAAATTCCAAAAATATGGAACAAACAATCTGAAGGGGAAGAGTTGTGGTCACGCCAGCCAAGCGCCTAAACGTTCCAGTTTCCGTATATTGGGTTCTGAGCCAACAGTATTGATCAGTCAACAGCCAGAGTGCAAACAGGCGTGTGATCTACGTCTTGTATTGTCTCATAACTTATCTACCTTGGTGTATTTTAATGCTTAGTTGCCTCTAAATTATCTGTGCTATCAGACCGCCACATGATTGGTGAGCCAAACATCATTAAGTCAGACTGATAAAGCTCTGCTGTAAACGTGCTCTTCTTCACGCATGCACGAATTATTAAAACCGGACGCAGAACGTGACGTTGAGGGCGATACAAACAATAGTTCTATATAGCCCCAGTTTTGGGTTCATGTCATTCACAAGCTCGTTTCTTGAAAATCGAGGAACATTTGAGCTTTTGAAAGGTAAATTACTGATCTACAATGTTTTCTTATTTTGTGGAGCAGATTCTCCCATAAATAGCTTCAAAGATCACTGATTTTGCCACCCAGCTAGTCTTAATAATGGTTGAAGTACTCCGTTTTGAGACACACGATTTCTTTGGAAGAGGCTGCTTTAAAATGGCTTCTGGCTGATGTGGAACTAGATGATTGCACACCTTATAAACTTCTGTGTTACATGTGCGTCTGTCTGGGTCCGTTGAGATACACTACGCAGATCCCCCAAGGTCCCATACGACGGCCCTCAACGCGTTATTCGATGTACCAACGAACACGTACAAAATCTACGAAATTGGTCCCCCTGAGACTGCAGTGTGTTCAGCTTTACAAATAGATCCAAAACATTTGTGACGTTTGCCGGACCACCTTTTTCCACAATTTATGAGTATGTTTACACTGATAATACACAAACAGCGCCTTGTGACAACTGTTCTACACTGCTAGCTAATGGTGTGTGCAAACACTTTTACCTTTCTTTTTTGTTCGGTTTGCACGTCCTTTCTCCGATATTCTGTATCACCTTTGTGGTTCATCACAAATTTACATTGGCTTTCACGGTCCTGCCAACAAGTCGGAGCGTTTTTTCTCTCAAAATGCTTTGGTTTTTGCACTTTATCCTAAACTTGTTTTTTTTCAATTTCACATGGGCACATTCATATACAAAATTATTATATTCCCATAAATGGTAAATTAGTTTCTTCAATTTTCATTTTATTGACAAAATGTTGCCCTTTGTGTTAACTGACCCTTAGATTTGAGTACCTGAAGCGTAGTCTAGGAAGCAAATTCTTTAAGGTTATAAATCTATCCGTAGATGGATGGCTTGATACTTGTGTATACCGCCTAAAATGGGAATAAATGTAATTGAAATGCCACGGGATTACTATGTATGTTACCTTCCCGAAGTCTCATTGGTTTAACGTTCCTTAGTTGTTTCTATCCAATATAACTGGCATTATGTTGTAGTTAGCACTCGAACAACTAATTCGTATTCGTATCGGACTCCGCTCAGTAATATTCCGATCCAGAACTAGGACTCGAAATGAAATTAAAACATAGAATTCAACAACGGAATGGAACTGTAATAAGCAGAAATTCGGAATCTACTAGTATATCGTGTTCAATAAAACAATGGAGTTCATAGTTCATGAGCAATCACCACATTCGCCGCAGATTGA